AATTACAGATACATTTACATATTACAGATTTTCTGACAACTGCATACTTGAAAAGTTGTCATATTACAGAATGGCCAAACTATTTACAGATGGCATCATTAGTATGCACCATTGAGAAATCAAAAGAAAATCGTTCCCAAATCTGGCCATGCAACTCAAAACATTGTAATGCAAAAATTATTATTGCATTTCTGAGCATAACTCTCAAATTTTAAAAAAATTTGAGGCAATTTTTTTTTTACATGAATTGACTCCTTTTTTAAAGCTGAATTGAATGGTGGCAATTTTTTTAAAACCCCAAAATGACCAATAGAAAGTTGTGGGACTAAGTGACTTGCATTATATAAACTTTACCTCATTTATATTTCAATTGAGTTATATCCCTATCCCCACTTTTTTGGCAAATTATATCCCAATTTTAAACTTATTTGTACATGATATACAAGTGTACCTAACATTTAATAATAATAAAGGAATTATTCTGTTGATTTCTTTAACAAAGAAGAAATTAATTCCCTTTTTCTTTAGTGGCAACTTGGTTGATTCCTTTAACAAACAACAAAGAAATTAATTATGAATTATTCTTTTTTTTTTTGGTGGTAACTTGGTTGATTCCTTTAACAACAAAGAATTGACTCAGATATTATAACAACTGAATTGCCTACTGACGAAAATATTGTTGAAGATATTCTCATTTCAGAAGGTGTCTGGCAATCTGAAAATGTTGAAATGGAAGAGGGAGAGGAAATGGTAAAAAGGAACCAGTTATTTCTATAAGAAAGAAGGAAAGTATTTGAAACTGCAGAAGGGATCTTGGAACAACTACATAAAAGATATTAGGTATGTTGTTGAATTATTAATAAAATGTTTAAATAGTTCTATAGACAATCCTTGTTGACAGAATTTATTAATGTTGAATAAAACAAAATTTATTTTAAATTAAAAATCATGTGAAATGATCAACTGCTTGAGATATATCCCACCTCAGTTATATCCCACCAAAGTTATCAATACAAAAGGGGTGATATAAAAGAGATACAGTGTGTCACAAAAAAATGGCACAGATAAAAATTGAATTGCTCAACAAATACATAAGATAATTAAATAAAATTTGATTCATTTAAAATCCCATCAATTACTCTATTAAATAAAAAAATGAACATGAAATACTATTGTCAGTTTTTTTTTAAAGCTGATCCACATCTTTTTTTTCAAATTTTACTAAATTTTTGTCTCTAAAATTTAACATGGGATTTTTTAATAGTGATTCTAGCATAAAAACATACATAATAATCATACAAAAAAATCATATCAATTTTAGCTTAAGTTCTGAAAATTATCAATATAAAATTACATGACTCCAGAATTTTATCAATTAAGAATAAAAGAAATTTGATTATTTTTGAAAAAAAAAAATTTAATGTAATCATTGCTCTAAAGCCTATATAATAATATGCATCAAAATTTTTATACATAATAATCCAAGATCTTTTGATTCTCTGGTATAATTTTTATTAGATGATTTTAGATACTTTTTTATTAAAAGAAATATTGCCATTTTTTTCATGTCACACTGTATGACTGTAATTACAAATTAGCATCAAAAATTCCTGGTTGGACAGGAATTTTCTAATCAACAATGTAAAGTTTGAATTTTTTATATAGAGAATGTGCAAGATCTCTGTCAGTTTATCTGATGAAAATTGAAAGTGATTGTAGAAAAACTATTCGATTTTTAGTGTCAAATTTTTTATCTCACAAATTAAATGTAAATTTTTGAATAATTTTGTATATACAAAAATGAAAAATATTCCACATTTAGGAATCCTTTTATTTTTATAATGTTTGTGGAAGGATCCATTCAATTAAAGAACTAGGTAATTATTTATCTCTAGCAATTTTTGGTAATGGTATCCCCTTATCAAATGTAGTGGTACATAGGTAAACTTGATAAGTTGGCCATAAATGGCTGGACATGATGGACTGACTTATTGAGAGAATTGAATTATTAAGGACACATGACTTTAAATTTTTAGTATCAAATTATTCATAATTATAAGGGTTTTATAAATGTAAATGGGGCTTTTAAAAACAATATTTATTTCCATTGATCTTTATATAAGATTGTGAAATCAACCTTTTATACATATAAATATAATAAAAACATAAATGCATTGTTCATGATACAAAAAAGAAATGGTTTCTAAATTATCAAATGAGACAATAAATGATGCAATTAATGATATAACTTAAAATACAAATGTATTGTTCATGATACAAAAAAGAAACATTTTTTCTGAGATAATAAATGATACAATCAATGATATAACTAATAAGATAATAATATATTGTTCACAATATAAAAAGAAACGGGGTTTCTGAGATAATAATAATAAATGTTACAATCAATGATGTAACTAACAAAATGATAAAATGATATAATTGACTAGATAATAAAATATTAATGTTCATAATAGATAATATATTAATATATAATTTTTTACGTCAGATCATTTGACACATTGCTAAAAATAGTAATAATGACCCCTTTCAATGCAAATATCATGTGAGAAGAAGGGTTGGCCAACTTACCCTATAATAATAAAAAAATAAAATACGGAATAAGTACGTAATGCAAAAAGTACGGAAAAGACGTACAAAAGGTGCGGGAAAGACATATAAAAAGTCCGAAAACAGTTCATGTAACAAAAACAAATTTCCGAACTTTTTATATGTCTTTCCCGCACCTTTTGTACGTCTTTTCCGTACTTTTTGCATTACGTACTTATTCCGTATTTTATTTTTTATAGGGTTACAGCTTATCACGATTTTATTAGATTGACCAACTTATCAAGAGATTTTAAACATTGAAAAAAAAGGGCGAAAGTTTTGACCAAATCCGAGACTGACTCCAACCAACAGTACCGGAATCCTATTATTATTAGCCATTCTAAATTTTTATTGGAACTTCTGGTATTTTATAATTTTGCTTCCTGACCCGGGGTGGTTACAATATAGATATGACGTAACTGTAACTATATTATATAACTCAGCAACCCTATAAAAAATTTAGTCAGCAAATGTATGGAAAAACCATACATTTTGTGGAAAAAAATTTTTGTAGGGTTGGTTGATTCCTTTAACAACAAAGAAAGTCATGGCTGTTTTCTTTTAACAATAAAAAAAAATATCCTTTCTTTCACAGTTGTGGCAAAGTATCTTTTTTACATGTATAAAAGAACTTGGTTTTGACTTAGGCATAATATGTATACATTCACGAATTTAGAAAATCGTTCTTTCCAAACTGTTAAAAGGAAGAAATAAATAAACAATAATAAAAATAGCTCATAAAATTAATAAATCATAAAATCATGAATTCAAAAATGTTCACATCAATTATTTTATTTTATATCGTTTCACAACTATATTTATTTTTACTTTTTATACTAAGAATTGAATAATAAAAATAAAAACTCAAAATTTATAAATTCATAAAACTGAAATCTATTATTTCTATAGAGGGAGGAAGGAAAGCATTTGAAACTGCAAAAAGATTCTTAGAGCAACAAGAATTTGTTACAAAAAAAGATGTTAAGTATGTTCGTGAATTAATAAAATGTTTAAATAGTTCTGCAGATAAAGCAAAACATCAGTCTTGTTGACAGAATTTATTGATATAAAATTTTAAAAGTCACGTGAAATGATCACAATTATATCCCACAAAAGTAGGGGGAATATTACGACTGTATTTCATTTTTATTTATTTTAATAAATTTAATAATGTGATTTAACATAAATTTTTTTTTTTGATTATTTGAAATACTTCAATTTCATCAATATTATATGTACATATACCCTTTTGAAGTTCTTGTTTACTATATAAAAGTTTTTTTTCATAATGTTGTTCTTTTCCATTAAATACTTTACAAACAAAATTCTCATTAATATTTTTACTGTATAAACTCAATCCACTATTCCAAATAGGGCCCGATTCAGGATCATTTATTAATGCATGTTCATGATGAGAAAGCTTCACTCTACTTAATCTTGTATTAAGAATTTGATTATTGAATAAATCCATTCTAAAAATAAAACTTTTCTTGGATTTGATTTTTTTAAATGCTATTGAAGACCAACTTAAAGGGTTATAACCACCAAATAAATCATATGCTGATGTTTTAATTAATATTAAAGTTGAATTTATATTACTGCATTTTTGATAAAATGTTCTTGGTGTAAATCCATCTTCACTTCCTCTTAATATCAATTTCAATTCATATGGCATTGCCCAAGAACGAATTGACGATGATGATGGTGATCGTAAATATGTTGACGATGGTGTTAGACCATCCAACCAATCTGATATCAAATACAATTGGCAGATTCCGATTAATTTTGAATTGATTCCTCGACGCTTTGACAATAATAAATTATAATGAATTAAAGAATTCTTGCTAGCTAGATTATAATAATCATCAATCTTCTCAAAAAACTCTGGATCGAAAATAGATTTTAAAGGCTTGATATTTGAAATAAAATCATTTTTTGAAATATGATTAAAATTTATAAATGGGAGAAAGTCCCTACATCTGATTTTTAAAACTTCCAAATCTTTTTGTTTTAAATTGTTTGGGTAAGGTAGATTTGGTTGTTGGAGACAACACCATTTAATAACACATTTCCACACATCGATCTCATCCATCATTAGATCACTTGATTTCAGCAATGATATTAAAATATCTTTATCCAACAGATTAAAATCAAAAGATTGAAATATCATATGTGCTCTATTTTTCATCAATGAATTAAAATGTAAATATAATTTACTTAGACTTTGATATCGATTTGTCATTGTTAAACAGTAACATAAATTGTTTTTAATTGCCTGATATTTCTTTGATATTATTCGATCTTGTAAATATTCGACCAATAATGACAAGCATAATTCATCTGCTGCAATTACTATATCTAAATATACAATTATACCATCATTTTCACTTAATTTTATATCACCACTGTAAATATATCTATATAAGATATATGATGCGTGTATATGAGTTAACATTAATTATAACTTTTTTAAAAAAATCAAAAAATTTAACACTTACTCTAAAATTTTTTGAAATGCAAATGTTGAAAAATTTGGTTTTCTAAAGTAAAATTTATCGTCGTCGATTTTCTTAACCCAATTTGATGATAAAGCACTACGAAAATACATTGATCTTGTACGTAAAATTATTGAATGTGCTTTAAATCTTTTTCTATCATCATCATCTCCGACATCTATCACCACATCATAATAATCCCCTGATTGTAAAATTGATTGATATTCTTTTGTTAAATTTTTTAAAAATCTTGTGGACATTTTATAGATTTTTTGAAAAGGGGTTTTTTGATTTTTAATACTGTATTTGCTAATGTATAAATCATTTGATATTTATATTTAAATCATTTATTATATATAGATAGATTGTCTCCCGAATGTTTCGTGACACAAAATGATTTATCGCAGCATGGGAAATTTTTATGGTCAGCTGACAAGGACAAAAGTTTAAAGAAATGCGACTTGTGGATAGAAAAAATTTCCATCTTTGGTATCAATATTTTTTGTGAAGCTTGAGAATATCACAAGTACTTGGGTTTTACCCTCAAGTGCTTGGGATTTATCCTCAAGAAAAAAAATCAAAGACGCTTAATAAATAAGATTAGAAAGCTTATGTAAACAAATTTCTAATAACGGCCATCCACATGAATAATTTATAAAAGGAAAGTAAAATAAATCAAAAGTTTTAAAAGAAAGGAAAAGTTTAATTAAGAAATACTTGATTCAGGAAAAAAAATTCAAAAGATAAACTAACCCATTGGAGTAATTTGATATATTTTAAAAGGGATGATTTGCTTGAGATTCAGCTTTAAACTTTTGTCCACTCTGGCATGCCATATTAATTCATTTTCGTAGGAGAAAAATATAAAAGGTTACAAAGCACAGAGCCATAATTATTACATGGGTCGCACGTGGGGTCAAATATGTTAAAAAAAATTACGTTGCAGATTCTAACAAACAAAATTTTTATTTCAGCTTATTTTTGTTTGCTAAAAAGTTTTACAAAAATGTTTTAAAATAAAACAAAACAATTAAATGAAAATGAAAAATCTATGCGCATTAAGTGAAAGAGTAAGTCTCAAGCTTTCACTTGATGTTATTGTTTTATGACTGTAGCTAAAAAATTGGTAGATAGATTTTGAAATTTTTACTGACCATATTATATAATTTTTTATTTCATGTTTACCGTTGTAAATGAATACAAAATACCCTAACTTTAAAAATATTATTGATCCACACAATATATATATGTTATTTTTATTTAGTATTGGGTCTAATTGAAAGATATTTTTGTATTTCTTCACTATATAAAATAATGAAATAAGAAAAATCGTCCATTATCACTAGTATTCCATAATAATAATCCCTCCTTCCTCCCCCCTTCCATTCTTCATCATTCATCATCAATCGATCCACTCATCATCCATATAATAAATTAACTTTTCTTTTTACTACGAGATGAAGTACGACCTTGTGATGATTTTAAAATATGTTCAGGAATCCAACTTTCATCATAGGTTGCATTACTAGTTGTTGCAGTTGAACCAGTTGCAGTTCCAGCAGCATCATCATCGTCTTTAGTAACACGCTAAATAATAATAATATTGTTGTTGTTGTAGTTACTATTATTATAATAATTAATAATAATAATAATACTGATAATTTACTTTTTTAGGTTTTTTAGACTTGGTTTTAGTTCCGAAGAATGCTTTATAAATCGTATATGCTATTGCGCCAAAAATTCCTGATAATAATAAATATAGAATAATCCTAAAAAATAGTATCAATACTATTATTAATAAAAAACAGTAATAGTAATTAATAGTAATAGTAATAATGATGATAAATCTACTAACAATTGTAAATCAAAAATAGATTGTTCAGGTTCAACAATTGTTACAGTTGAATTATAACCAACACCACTATAAATTTTACCATCCTAAATAAAACAAAACCAATTTTAATTTATAATTATATATGTATATATACACAAACTCTCTCACATTTTTTACCTTGTCGGTAAAGAAAACATTAATAATAAGATCTAATTCTTGTGGCTGAAATTCTGAATAAAAACTATATGAAACTTCAACATGATCCATCGGTGGCACTGGAAGACTATATTTAATACCTGTCAACTATTCAAATTATGAAATCATTATTATATGAAATGATTATTATTGATTTATTATATTTTTCATTCCCTCATTAATGTATTATGAACATTCTTACGTTACGAAATATTTCATCGTGATTACTTGGATTAACCAATCTCCCCGATATTACGGTAATAGTATAATTGAGTTCGCCCTTATTATCAAAGGTAATCTTAACTGTGTTCTTTTGTCCATTTACTACCTCTAAATGCAAAGTATTTATATGTAAAAATGAATTTATTATATAATAGTAACAGCAGATATACTGATAGGTAGACAGATTCACTTACGATTAAATGGATTGTCTACAAATTTTCCACTTAATTCTATTTGCTCAGGAGAGATAAATGATTTTTGTTCTTCTTCACTAAAAACTTTTTTATTTTTATTTTTTTGACGAGATAAAATAATAATAAAACAATTACTCCTTTTTTTCTTTTCAATTCAAATCATAAATATCAAAATTTCAACTCTCATATAAAACTATACCAGAAAATGATTGATTCAATATTAAAATTATAAAAAAAAAGATTGTAAGAAAATTTGTCATTTTTAGTTTTTTTTTTTGAAAAATATTTATTAAAAAAAAAATTTACAAAAAAAAAAATATTAAAATTTATATAAAAAAGTGTCAACATTTAATTGGCTACTTTTAATTAATAATTGTAACACGAATTTTTTGAGCAGTTTTTCAACTGGTTGTTAATTACATGAATTAATCGTAGTAATAGTAATGCATATAATAATATTTACATATTTATATTAAAATATTCTTTGAAAACAAAATAAAAGAAATTATCAAGATTTTAAAGATGTTCTTGCTTTAATATCTTGCTTCTTTAATAAATATTCAACAAATGCGCCAATGAAATAAACTAATAAAGCAAAAGTGAACACTATTGAAAAAAAACCAAATCTACCAAAGAAACGATTGTCATTATTGTTTATAGAGGTGGTTGGAATTGTTGGTAGAGTATTCGAGTCAGTAGTATCAACAGATGAAGTTGGATCCAGATAGTTGAAACTTATTTTCTTCAAGATATACCAACTTCTAAACTCTATAACAATTAACGCTTCAATATGTACAATTTCTGCACTTGCATCTGGAGTTGGTGACCAAGTGAAAGTCAACGGCAAATTCTTTAAAGTGTCATCACTATGTTGCATCGTGTTTGATAAACCAACTCCACCACAGTCGCTTTTAGCTGCAACACCAGCAACTTTTGTTTCGAAATTACCAAACCGATTTCCGATTGCATCATGTGCATAAATAAGTAAACCTTTAATTGGATTTGTTCCAATTATTGATATTTCAATTTTACCGTCTAAGCTTCTTTTTTGAGTTAAGGAATATCCACCCGTATTATTAACAAAATATGCTCCGTGGTCTCCATTGACCATTTGATAAACATCGCAAGTTGGCGACCTTCGAGGATAAGAAAATGTTGTGTAAGCTAATGTTGTGAAAATGAAGAAGATAATATTGAAAATATTGAAAATATTCCTCATATTTAATATTTATATATTTATATTTGCGTTTATATAATTGTAGATTGTTTTCAAAAAAAATTTCAACTTTATTAATTAAAAAAATTAAAAAATAATATTTTTTGTGAAAGAGAGAGAATGAGTATAAAAAAAATTAAATAGAATGATCAAAAACGGAATAATTAAATAATGGCTTAGAATTAAAGATATCAAAAAAAGTTTTGTACGCGAGTGTGGCTTATATCAAAATTTTCACAGCCTTAAATTATATATATATTTTTTTTTAAAAATATCAAATGATCTAAAAATGCATTATTCATCATCGATACAATTAATTTTTTTAATTGCATCAGTCTTTTATATATAATTAAATATATTTGGATACTTTTAAAAAATCAAAAATTATTAGAAATGGATGCTTCACCTGATTCTTCAGCTGCTTACTATTATGTATCAACTGTTATTGGTTTAATAATCGTTTTAGCAATTCCATATCAATATTCACAAATTAAATGTTTATTACAACGTAGAAAAAGACAAATAAACAATAACTTGAATGAAAAACTTAAAGCAATAGCTGAAGAAATATTAGAAGAAAACGAAGAAGGAATTGATATCGCTCCGATTCATTCTTTCATAACCGTGTGGTTTCACAAAATATGGAATACTACGATCCATGTTACAAGTGTTGGTGATATGAGTGTTGGAGAAATTATTCTTTTATTCGTTTTCATTTTTTTTAATTTATTTTTCTTTCTTCATCCGTTTCAAACATCAAATGCCAACTTCCCGACTAACCTAAACAATAGAGCTGGTCGGATTGGTGTGGCAAATGCAGCTTTTATATTTCCGTTAGCTTCTCGTAACTCTATATTTTTAACATTTTTGGGTATACCTTTTGAACGTATTATTAAATTCCATAGATGGGTTGGTAGAATGATAATTTTTTGTATAATGTTTCATGGCATGGGTCATATACAAGAAGGATATGAAGCAGGCGGTGATCTAACCGCAGCAATATTTGGAAGCACTGTTCGTACAAGAGGCTTTATAGCTTTTCTTTCATTAGCACTATTGGGATTAACTTCTCTTTCAATATTTAGAAGAAGATATTTTGAATTTTTTTATTGGGCACATATTATTGGATTCATAGTTTTTGTTATTGCAAGTATTTTTCATTTTTCGGAAAATTTTTATTTTGAAATAATCGGAATTCTTCTTTACTCGATTGATGTTTCGATCAGATTTTATCTCTCAAAGAAAAATGCAAAAATTATAAAATTAGAAACAATTCAAAATGATATAACGAAAATAACCATCAAATACAACATGTTTTATGAAGCCGGTCAATACATATTTGTATACTTTCCAAATTTAAAGAAACCATTGTCATCAACTTTAATAATTTGGCATCCTGTATCAATATCCTCGTCACCTACTTCTTTATTATCATTAAACAACAATATATCAACAATTCATCTAAAAAGAGTTGGTAAATTTACCAATTCGTTGTTTGATAGAGCAATAAGAGAAACAGATGTGATAAATCCTACATTGAATATAAGTATCGAAGGACCGTATGGTAAATCAAGCGTACAATTCATGGATTATGAAACAGTAATGTTATTTTCTGGTGGAATTGGCATTACTCCAATGATTAGTATTTTAAGAAGTCTAGTTGATCGATTAGTTTCTGGTATGGCGATTGCAACAACTACAATTTATTTCATATGGGTGATTCCTAATTTTGGTAGGAATATATATATATATATGTATATATATATATTTATTTATTTATTTGTTTTATTTATTTATTTATTTTATTTATTTATTTATTTTTATTTATAGAATATCTATTAATACTTTATACTCTCCTCTTTAGATTCATATAATTGGTTTTCATCAGAAATTCAAGAAATTCAAGAAGTATTTAATAATAGTTTAAAAAAGTCCAATAACGATAACAAGTACATGTTAGATATAAAAATTTTTGTTACAAAACCAATTCCAAATGATAATAATACTAATAGTAGTAGTGATTCAGCTTTGTCAAAAATATCACACATCGGTAGACCTAAATTTGAAGGTATAATGCAAGATGTTAAAAGACACCATGGTTCGGGCGATGTGGCTGTTGGTGCTTGTGGTCCATCTCTTATGCTTAAAGATATTACAAATGCAGCTATGTCACAAAGTACTCGTAAAGGTCTTTTCCTAGTACACACTGAAATTTTTGAATTGTAAATAATTTATTTTTTTCATTTTTTTTTTTTTTTCATGTTTGTATATAAAATAAATTGTTAAATTTAATAAGAAATGATCGTCGTTATTAAAATTTTTTGAAAAAGTCACATACAAATCAAAAAAAAATAAAAAAGATCTTTTTTTCAAATAAAAATTGCGATTAACTGCTTTTCAAATCTGTAATAATAATAATAATAATACCAACAATAATAACAGTATTAGTAATAATGGTTTACCAATACGATCAGTATCAACAACAACAATATCAGCAACAATACCAACAGCAATATCAACAACAACTTTACGATGGTAGCGTTGACGACAAAACAACTTTATGGTATGATATAAACTAAATTTGTTGTGGTAACTTTTGTTCCCATTTTAATCTATATATGTATATATGTGTGTGTTATATAAATATACTTAAGGATGGGAGAACTTGAACCTTGGATGGATGATAATTATGTTCGTCAAATATGGTATCAATATGGAGAAAATGTTAGTGTTAAAGTTATTAGAGACAAATTTACAGGGTAACTAACTAACCAACTAACAGCTAACTAACCAACCAACTAATTATATAATAAATTTGACGAATTATTACAAAAAATCAATTATTTTATATTTGTGTTATTATTATTAGGAGAGGAAATGCCGGTTACTGTTTTGTAGATTTTTTAAGTAATGCAGCAGCAGTTAAAGCTTTGGCCAGTTTAAATGGTACGTCAATTCCTGGCACTAATAGAATTTTTAAGTTAAATTGGGCGTTTGGTGGTGGTTTGGCTGATAAAAAGTAAGGAATATAGTATTCAATTGATTGATTGTTTGAATGTTTGATTCGATTAACAAAAATGAGATTTTATTTTTTAAAAAAAGAGATGATCGTATTCCAGAATTTTCAATATTTGTTGGTGATTTAGGGCCTGATGTTAATGAATGGATATTAATGGTAATAATAATATCATTATTTTTAAAGAATATAATAATATTTGATTAATCTTTATATATAAATAATATTATATGTTAGACTGTTTTCTATCAACGTTATCCAAGTTGTAAATCTGCTAAAATAATGACGGATCCAATGACAGGAATTTCTCGCGGTAAATTTTACGCAACAAAAAAAAAAAGCTATATATATATATATATATATCTAAATATTCTTGCTTTTCAGGATATGGATTTGTTCGTTTTGGAGAAGAAATTGAACAACAACGAGCTCTTATAGAAATGCAAGGAGCATTTTGCGGAAATCGTCCAATGCGAATCTCTACAGCAATTCCTAAAAATAAACTTTTTTTCCAAGGTGTGATGGTTATTTTCAATTTAAAAAAAAAAAACGCATAATTTTTTTAATTGTTTAATTTATAATTATCTTAATGATAATCATCGCGTAAACAACATATGCTTGTGAAAAAAGAATACCTTGACCTTAAGAAGCTCAAAATCTCCTTGCATACATATAAAAAAAAATTTTTTTTATAAGCATTCCATCTAGTAAAGTTTGTGATTTTGATATATATATATATATATATATATATATATATATATGGATTAAAGAAATAACAGAAGTAGTATTAGTAGCAGCATTAATAGTTAGTAGTAGTTAGTAGTAGTAATAGTAGTAATCATCATTATATATTATATATTTCTCCCTCTTCTCTTATTCTCATTCACATTCTCATCTTCGTTTACATGTATTTGTGATAGGTAATCCAAGAGTAAGAATGCCATGGGGTAGAATACAAAATGATAAAACAGCTCCAAATTATCGGTAGGCAATAATTTTTTGAAAATATTTATTTATTTTGAAAATATTCCAACACTTTGTTTAATTTTGTATATATATATATATATATATATATATATAATAGACCTCAACTATACAATTCTTTAAATAATGACAATGATAATGGAGGTTATTTGCCAAATACAATTACCAATACTAACACAACCGGAGCAAATTCTATTATCAATGGAAATAGTAATGGTGGTGGTGGTAATGCTACTGTCATGAATATTACATTATCGTCACAATTATTAAATAATAATAGTATAACAATGATGATGACGACGATGGATCCTTTGGAGCCAATTCCAGTTCAACATATGAATGAACTTTTTATTTCTAGTAAAGAAGCATTAATTGAAAGAATGGAAATTTATACTAGTACTAGTAATAATTGGTCAGATAATGTGTTTATGCTTAATGACTAAATTCCTTTGTGCATGATATTTAGTAATTAATTAGTTAATTCACCATCAATCAATCTTTCTTTTTTTTTTTTATCTTTAAATCTACTATTAATAAAAAAAATCTCTTTTTCTATTAAAAAAAAAAAATAAAGAAAAAAGAAAATCGCATATATATTATAATTAATAATAAATAAGTAAATAAGTAAATAAGTAAATAAATAAATAAGTAAATAAATAAAATAAATAAAATAAAATAAATAAATAAATAAATAAATAAATAAATAAATAAATAAATAAATAAATAAATGAGATAACTCGGAAATTAGATACTCATTGTTCATTGTTGTTTTTTTTTAAAATGAATTGTTTTTTTATAAGAATTCTTTGTAAATATGGATATTTATTTAGACATATTTTTAGTCACATACTTGTTAATATTAAACGAATTCGCACATGCAGAATAAAAAAAAACATTAGATTCATATGCAGGAGGATTTAATTTAATCCATACAAAATTTCGTCACGCACGTCACCGGAAAAATTTATTACGAAGAAAAAATAATCAATGGCTTGACGTTATTATTATATTATAATATGATTAAGTTTAACAATGAAATAAAGAGATAAAAATAAATTTATTTAGATTCTCAAGTTTTGCCTTATGATCATATTAATATTTAATATATAATTTTATCGGAAAAGGAGAGAAATGACCAAATTTATCAATCAATCGAATATTTAATTAATAAAAATTCGGGAAGTTGAGAATTAACACTTTCCAAACTTGTATGGTGGTAAAAGGTGGGGTTAAGGTTATACATGCATACTCGTATTAATATTTATAAGATCGAGTTTATGTAATTTGTTAAATTTGTTGTATGCGGTTTCGTAATATACAATCTATTCCAAAACAATCTATTCCAAAATTAGAATTACACATGAACATTATGTGAGAAGTTACACTACATGAGATGGATGAACGTTTACAAAAATTTATATATTTTTTTTTTTTTTTACATTTTTATTATTATTTATTTATTTTTATTAAAGAAGCACATGTATTCTGATAGCAAAAAAAGATACCAAAAAGGGTAAAATAATCAAAAACTTTGTTACAAGTTAAGCGGAAGAAGAGGTGAAGGTATGAGATTTTTTATAGATTTTTATAGATTTTTGGTTTAATTGGAGACAATCAAAAGATTAAAAAAATAATAATATAATTATTTTCGTTAATAAAAATTATCCTTTATATAATCTTTTTGGAAAAATTTCATTGTTTGTCTCGGGGGAATTTTTTATTAAAATTAGATTAAAAAAAACCTTCCAAGAATAATCTATTTATATATAGGTTTTTTTAAAAAAAAAAAAAGTTCGATCAGCAATGTTTTTTTTGTCGTGAAAAATTAATTTTAAAAAATAATTAGGTAATTGGGCAACTAATCAAATATCTTTTGATAAATATATTATTAACTATTTTAATTAAGAAATTTAAAGTTTAGTAGTGGGTAACACGTATTTTTTTAATTATTATAATTTGGGATTATTTCATCTGACCATTACATTCATTACATTATAATTAAGCAGTATATATATAAATTAACTAAGCAGTATATATTACGTCGAGAATATTACATCAGTTAGTTTTGATTGATAATAAATAAAATTACTCATCTAATAAATCCTAATTTAGGACTTTTCTAACCAAAGAAGCTTCGCAAAAGAAAATTTTTATTTTTTTATTTATTACTTTTTGATATTAGCATAAACGTATATATATAATTTTGCTCTTTCTCCAAGTAGTGAAAAGAAATATTACTAACACATTAGTTGACTAACACTAATTTTAATTTTTTTTTTTATAAAATTATCTCCCCCCTTTACTTCTTTTTTTGCCCCCACATTCTTCTTTTCCCACAAACAAAAAAAATAAAAAGAAATTTAAGTTTTTTTCTGCATTCAATAGTACTTTAGTAGCAAATAATAATAATAATAATAATAACAATAGGTGTGGTAGTAGAGTAAAAGTAATTAAAATTAATTTTTAATATTAATAAAATATTTAAAATATCTATATAATATTGTTTATAAATAATTTATTATTTATATTAACTGTTTTTAATTCTTTTCTCCGATTTCAGAAATTATCATTCACATCAAAATTTTTTTCGGTGCTGTGTGCAAATCGGGTCAAACGTTTTTTTATCTTAGATTATTTGCGCATTTAGTGTTTATTATATTTAAAAAACCATGCAATGATAAATTTATTTATAAAAAGAATAAAAAAGAATATTATATAAAAAAATCATAGAAAACATCACCCCCAAAAAACCATTACCAGTTAACTATCAATTAACCATCAATTAAATCAATTAACCATCAATTAACCATAGCATTCATACACACATCTACCCCCATATTTTATTTACTTATAAATAAATATATAAATAAATAAATTTTTAAAAAAATTTTTAAATTAAAAAAGATAAAAACAAATCTTGCGACAATCAAAAGGAAAGAAAATGCATACCAGAAATTATTAATACTTTTTTTTTGTGTAGCATTATTCAAAATTTTGTAAGTTTTTATTTTTTTTTTTTTTTGAATAAAAATTACTATTTATTTTTATCATTCTGATTTTAATTTTAATTTTCTTTTTTTACGTGATAATCAATCAATTCTTGTTAGTTACTAGCAACATTATTATTATCAAAAAATCAAGTCAAAAGTATACCTGATATTTATTTATATACGAATATATAAATCTATAATTTTTAATCATTTCTCTCTAGATTTAGTTTATCTTTTTTTTTTTGTTTTTAATTCGTTATGACAACGCCAACTACACATTTCAGCTATAGACTACAACAAGAACAGCAAGAACAGCAACAACAATTTCAACAATTTCAACAAAATCAAAATCAAAATCAAAATCATCAGTTACCTTTGGATTCTGTTACTTACAATTTTTCTATATTACAACAGCAGCTTTGTCGTCAGCAAAAATTTAACCAATACCAATATCAACAAATCTTATCAGCGGCATTAGTTCCAAACAATTTCGTTAATAATAATCCCACTTCAATTTCTCCTTCTTCACATTTACCTCCACCTCCTAATACAAACATTGGTAATAATCAAGATAATCAAGAAATTGTTAATATAACTGCTCAACAAATTCCTAATTACGTGCAACAACAACAACAACAACCATTATCATTTAATAATAATATTCATCAACAACAAGAACAAATTCCTTACACTTACGAATCAAAAGCCGCTTATCCTTCTCCTCCTTTAGATTCTAATCTAACATTGACTACCGAAACAACTACAAATACTACAAACACATCAAATAATTCCTCCATAATAAATAATAATAACAATATGATGATGGATTCTCAAGATCCAATCGATCTTAACAACAACAACGACAACAATAATATAATCACGGATCATTCTCATTTAAATTCCATTTCACCACCACCACCACCGCCACCACAGCAATCTATTAATGCTAATAACAACACCAATACTACCAACAATAATGATGATTTACGAGGTCATAAATCTTTATCAATCATCGGACCTGACACTTATTCAAATTCTACATCGTGAGTTTTTACATGCGTTCTACATGTATTTTAATACCTGTTCCGTATATATTTTTGCTCAGATTTTCTCTTTTTAAATATTAAAAATGTACTGATAATTATCCTTTATTCCAAAAGATATTCGTCGAGTCATTATTCTAACTCTTCATCAGGAACTCAAATGGATCGTCGAACAAATGCTCCTATTGTTCCAATGATCCAACAACAACAATCTTTTCAAAATAATGCTGGTATATATATATATATATATATATAATATAAATTTAATTAATTGAATAATGATTATAATAAATGTTTATAATATAATAATCGTGTGCTATATTATTTATTGAAAAGGTTATGATGAAAGAGCTTTAGATTCTACACTTTTTAATGATACGACACCATCAATGAAACTGGAAGCAACTCATAATAATAATAATAATAATAATAATAGTAATAGTAATAATAATAGTAATAATAATAATTCCGGGACTACTATTGGTTATTTTATTCATCAAGTAGGTGGATATGATCGTAATGGCCCTGCTATTCTTCATCATCATCAACAACAGCAGCAACATCATCATCATTCAACTTCTTCACCTCCAAATTTCAATTCGCCGACTTCTGCTCCACCAACACCACAGGATTATAACCCAATTACGATGGCTGCCGCTGCCGCAGTAACGGCTTCTGTGAATAATTCGACTACAACAGCCAATGCACCTACTAATACGGTAACTGCAGTAACTGCTGCAATTACAAACAGGTTCGCGACCAATGGCACGACGACTGTTAGCGATCCTACTACAAATGACGATAACACCATATCAACATCAATAAATAATTACAGCAGTAGTGGTGGTCATCTCCATCTCCACCCTCATCCTCCTCCTCTTTCTCATCCTCATCACCTCTCAAACAATCATCCCCATCATCATCACCACCATCAAATTGGCTCAAATGTAGCAGCAGTAGCGGCTTTTCAACAACATCTTCAACAACAACAACAACATCATCATCAACATCATCATCACCACCATCATCAACAACAACAACATCATCGATCTTCTTCTACTTCACCACACCCAGTTCCACCCCCACAAACTATGATGACAACTTTTAGTTCGAAAACAATTTCAACTACTCCTAAACGATATAAATGTGAGATTTGTCAAAAACGGTTTACAAGGCCAAGTTCACTACAAACTCATATGTATAGTCATACCGGTGAAAAACGTAAGTCTTTTTATGATTACACATCAAATGATTACACGCATAATTTATATATGAGATCAATTAATAAAAAAAAATTTTTTTTTTGAACTTTTTTATAGCTTTCAAATGTCCAATTGAAGGATGCGGTCGACATTTCTCGGTAGTTAGTAATTTACGTCGTCACCAAAAAATTCATGGAAATCAAAATCAAAATAATAACAGCAACAATAATAATAACAACAACACTGCTGCTACAGTAAATAATAACTCTTAATTTTAATTTTGTAAAAAAACTCTAAAAATTTTTTCATTTATCAATTAATTAATTAACTATATTTAGTATATATATATATATATATATATATATAAATATATATAAATATAAATTAAGTTCCTTTCTTAAAATTTTTATGATGTGATAGTTAATAATAATAATAATAATAATAATAACAATAATTTTCTGAGATAATTAGAAATATTTAATTTATTTTCAAATGTTATTTTATTTATGCTTTAAACAATTAAAAAAATATGATTTTTCTTTTAATATTATTATTGTTACTAACAAATACGAAATCTTTAATTATGATTTTTAATTTCACAAGATTTTAAAAAAAAAATTTATGACAATTTTGATTTTTTTAAAAAAAAATTTTTTTATGAAAAAAATTTTCTTTATTTTGCATTTTTTTTTTCTTTGTTTAATAATATTATGTTATTGTATATATTATATATAATATTTTTTTTTATGTGTTTTAATATTTTTTTAATTTTCTTCGTACATAAATTTATTTATTTTTTTTTTTTTTTTTTATATAAAAATTTTTTTTCCACTTTTTTAAAAAATTTAACAAATAAATCAAAAAAAAACATTTTAAAAATTCATTGAAATACTTACTATTATTGCGTGTTAAAAATATCATGGTAAAAAGAGATACCTCCTCATGATTTTGGATTGTAAAGCTATTTCATTATATTAATATATTTTGCCATTGATTAAAGTCCTGTTTTACCTTCTTCACAGAACCCAAAATTCTTCAACTACAAAATAGAAGTTTCAGTAGTGAACTTGGAGTTAGTTTAGTTAGTTTACTATCTATTACTGGTCGAATCTAACGTTTATTCGAATATTCGTTTGCTTTTTTAGTAAAGATTTTCGGTAGCTATCGATTTTTTAGGACCTTGGACAATTATAATTGAACTGGTATTAACAAAAGCGGGTAGTCAGATTTTCAAGATTTTTAAAAAAAGGAAACTAACTCACTAACCATTTTAGTAATATACAGTCAACCCCTAAATGCACCCCATAAATGCACACCTCTCTAAATGCACGCTTTCACTCATTCCCAAGCTCAGTACTTAAGAGATAAGTGCACCTGCACTGCACGGTCTCTTTTCATATAAAACCACCCTTCCTAAGTGCACTCCCGTGACTATCACGTGATATTATGCATTGTTAATAGTGTAACCTAGAAAATTTCACAAATTTGGCTTTGACTTAATCAAAAAAGTCACCCAATTGAGTCAATTGTAAGCATGTTAACCGAAGTTGGCTCGGTGAAATAGTTTTTCATAAATACTGAAATTAATTTTATTAGTTGTCAAAATTATATCTGAAATTATTTGGACTCTTTAATTAAATACTAAAAGGCTGGGTAGATTTTGTATGTCTATTGATACAAAGAATATTGTAAATCCCAAATTGCTTGGCAAAATTGATTTTTTCAAAAACTATTTTGGCTAACATTCTTATCAACCTATTTCTACCATAGTTAACAAGTTTGGAAATTGATCATACAATGAACAAGCAAAATCAGTTAATTCTTTTGAAAAATATATTAACTTAAAAAAAAATAAATACAATGGAACAAATTACAATAGATAGATTCATGTCTTGAATTTTTTTTTGTAGTTTAAAATTTTTTAATTAGTGTCACATGAGTCACCAATATGTGCAGCCAATAAAATGCTTTAATTCCCTAAATGCACACACCCTCCCTAAATGCACGCTCCCACTCACTCATTCCCAGGGGGTTGCGGGTTGACTGTATTCTGAGTATTTTTTTCACAACATACCAGTTCAAGTGATTGACCGAGGTCCTGATTTTTTTATGTACGAGACAAGAATTCTAGGTATATTGTGATTGGATAGATTGCTTTTATAAAGACTGATGATTCACTTTCAATTAAAGCTGACATTTCAAGCTTAAAAATTTCAAAACAACATAATGATTATTCAAGACGTACTCGGCACTAGCTATATAAACAAATGTGCTTATAGATAGGGATTTTACCGGAGGCGGCTGGTTATGTGGGGTTGACTGTATTATCATATGCCGAAAGACAAGATTATTACGTGTGTTTTTCAACAATTGTTTTTTGAAGTGAGAAATATTTTATTAAATAGGATTGATATTATTGATAATTTTTTTATTATGTGCAATCATTGAAAATGTGCACGACTTCTGTATGGTTCGTACGTAAGCTCTAAGCAAACTATCATAAAGCCATAGAAAACAACATTATCTTTATTATTTTTTATTGTATAGATAGAATACGTTAGTTATTTTGTAAACATATTGTTTTAATATTAAAATCAGCCAATCATAATCAGCTTTCTGAAATAATATTCTCCCACTACCACGAAGTAACTAGTGAAAAGATTTTCTTCCCAATTTCACTTTACCACCTCATTAGGCATTTCCGAAGTTGGTTACATGCTTAAATAACTAGAAAAATCCCATGGTGTCAATGCTTCACTGGTGATGCATTACATGTCCAAGAACTTTGAATTTGTGAAAGGCCAGTCAGTGATGGTCTTTATCCTAGGGTTAGTTTGGAAATACACGCTTACCTAGAGCTCCCCGACATGATTTCAGAGGGCAAAAATTCTACTTTAAAAAAACCATATGCTCTTAAATAATGGCAAATGCACATGGCTGACTAAGACGTTTGTTGGATCGGGCATACCAAAAAAAAAAGTTTTTTTTTCTAATGAATCCGACGCTAATGTTCTTTATTAATTGTATATTGTCAATTCCAGTTTGATGAAAAACTAAGATTTGTTGAGATGAACAGTATAAGAGTAATTAGTTGATAATAATTGAGTTCTATTCATAGAAGTTTGTGGGTTAATAAAAAACCCAATTTATAATAGGGCTTGGAAAAAGAATTGATTTTATATAATAATAAAATAAAGAATATTTAACAATCAATTTACTATTATTTTTTTTTAATTAAATATGTATAAATTATTATAATCTACTAAATTTATTATTATTATTATTTACTATTATAAACATTAATACAACCAACCATTAATTACTACTAATACAACCAACACTAACACTAATATCATAATTTGGATTATTACATAAAATCATCATCGTATTCATCATGATAATTCCCAAAATCTGCGGTTTCATCAAGTTCAGCATGAAGAGTTGGTTTTGGTTTATCTTCATTTCAATTTTATTATTCAAAAAAAAATTTATTATTATTAACATTATTTATTATATATAACATGAATAATTATAATATAAATAGAAATGTATTTACTTTTTTTCTTTCCTTTTTCTTTGGTTGCTCTTGTTTTTTCATTTGCTAAAGTTGATAAGATACTTGAAAGTTTACGTATCTCAACATCTTTAAGATTAGAACATAATTCTTTAACAAATCCATTAATAAATGTAACATATAATGCTTGTTTCTAAAATAACGATGATGATAATAATAACGATTATTGAGATTGTTTTCAATTGTTTATTGATTAATTGATTGATATTTTCACTGACCTCATGTTTTTTAATTCTTTCGCATAAAAGTTTAGAAAATTCATCAAATTCATCTCTTGTTCTAGGATTTATTTTATCTAATGGAGACCCTTCCGTATCTATATATATATATATATATATATATATATATAATAGTAAATATATCGCCTAGATTATAGTAAATTCACAGCTAATAAACAAATGAATCACCTTTAATTGATACACCACGGAACATGGATTCTGCATTCTCAAGATCCGATTTAAGTTGTTCTTGATAAATTCTCTTTCTCTTTTCAACGGGATCATCATCATCATCATCGTCGCCCTCATCATCATCACCCTCCTTGTCCTCCTCGCCCTCTGAATCGCTATCTTCATCGTCTCCATTTTGTTTCTAATCATTTTAATTTTTTATTTTTAAAATTATATTTTAAATAAAAAACAAAAGAATCTATTTAATTTACCTTTGCTTTTTTCGCGGCTGCTTCTTTCTTTTTTTGTTCTTCTTTTTCTGCTATTTTTTTTGCTACTGAACCTTTTTTCTTTTTCGTTACTGTTGCTGTTTCAGCTTTTGTATTTTTTTCTTCTTCTTCATCAGACGATACATCCCAGGAATCCTAAATAATCAAAATAAATATAATAATTACTATGTGTAAATATATAAATACATTTATATAAATGGTGAAAGTAAATTAAATACCTTAATTTGATCTTCATCAATATCTTCATCAATCCATTTCTTTTTATTTGAAATAACAATTTTAGGAATGGCGGCTTCTTCAGAATTTTCTACTACAATTTTTTAAAAAGAATATATATACTTTTTTTTATTTTTAATGATAGTAATTTATTTTCAAAAGTTAATTTACCCCAATCAGACATTTTATCAGCCAAGTTTTTATTAGAATAACGTTTTTGCGACTATTACGATCTTTTGATCGAAGAATTAAAAAAAAAGAAGCTTGATCTAAATCATTTCTTTTATATGGTCCGTGTGACATTCAGAATGTGTAACTTTGACATCAATTTTTTGAATAATATTAATAATTTATTATTAATATTTTGGTGAATGAATGTTATACAATTATTCAACAAAGTTATTAATAAATAAATAATCGTAGTAAATAAAAATAATAGAAATCAGATCATTATTTATCTATCTATCTTTCTCTATACATATACATCTGTTTATACATGACCTCTTTTAGTGGTATTAAAAAAAGTCTTTACAACAAAAACTTGTACACAAGCCATTCCAACAATTAATGCGCTTTCCAACAATGAATACCAAAATATTCTATTTTCTGTACTTTTCACAGTTGAAAAATTACGATTTTCACGAGTTCTAAAATATTTTTGAGTTCTTGCAATAGTACTTAGACTACTACTTAATTTCAAACAACTCTCCTCCATACTATTAGTTTGGTCTGGCATAAAATCTTTATTATTGGTGGGCAATTCGGCTCTCGGTTCATTCTCAACTGTGATCTCAAAATCAACAAGCTTTTCTGCAAATGTTGACATATCATTAGCAAAACAAAATGAATATTCTCCTACATAATTTGCCGTAAATATAAAATCTCCTTGTCGTTCTTTCTCTCCATTTAAGATTGTTTTACCTTTTGGATCTGTTACCAAATAATCAATATCAAATGAACCACCAGTTTGTACCTAACGAACAAATAAATACAAGTAATGAATAGTTAATTAATTAATTAAATAATGAATTATATAAAGTTGGGATTATAATAATGATAATAATCATGATAATGATAATATTAATTACTGCAAAATAAAAGGCAATCTTTTCTCCCGGTTTATCAATCCAAGCATAAAAGCAAGCCTTTTCATGAGCTGCTACTGCATATGTCAAAGAAGTTGCTTCTGAAAAATTTGGAGATATATTCATATATAATAATATGCTCATTATAAAATATAATAATGACGACGATGTAAAATGTGTTGTTATTTCCTTCATATTTTCTTCAATTCTTTTTTATTTTTTTTTTTATTTTAAAAAAAGTTTTTTTTTTTTTAATTTATAGATACTTGTTGTACAAATATAAACGATTTTTTAACCAATAAAAATTGCACATATAAACATAAACCATAAAAGGCAAAAAAATATATCATCAACTCAACCTCCAGAAGAAAGATGTAGCTAAATTAATTTGGAGAAGTTAGAGAATATCAAAAAAAAAAAAAAAAATCAATAATTAAAAAATTTCACTTCTTTCACATTTTATTTTATTATAAAAAGATTTTGAAGGGGAAGAATTTCTTTTTGTGTCAGAAGTAACGTCTTTAATTGGAAGAGTTCCTGGTAATCAAAAAATACAAGTTGGTATTAAGCTGACCAGCAAATGTTCACACATATATATTTAATTTAATAGTGTTTATCAAAAACATTGGAATATCTAAATACATTTAGGAATTTTTATATATAATGAGGAATCTCATTAAGAGAAAATTAAATAATTATCCCAACTATTATGAATGAATTATTTTGAATATAGAGTCTTTAATGAAATGTAAATTACATAAATATGAATTGGCTCAATTAGCTAATTTATGTTGTGAGGAAGTAAATGAAGCATGTTATTTAGTACCAAGATAACCTATTTATGTATATATGATGGTAAATATTGATTCTATAATTAACTTGCTTCAAGAGTTAAAGTATGGTTGATCAAAATATCACGTGATGTATCGAATTTTGATCTAACCAATCAATTCTTGAAATTGTCGTGAAACAACAATAAAATCTAAATTTTTTTCTTTTGACAATTATAATAATGATTATTTTATTTTTAAGATATTGGAGATTTTCTTGGGATGATTTAACTCTACACAAATATAATAATTTAAAAGAACATATTATTTCAATAAATTTAATAAAGAGGTTTTACTTTTGTAGAAATTTTTATAAAAAATATCATTGTTATCAAAAAAATCATCATTATTATAATAACAAAAATCATTATTTTTTTTCAAATCAAAAACAAATTTTAAATAATTTTAAAAAACAATTCATCTTTAATATTTCTGATAATCATAAAAATTATAATACTGGTAGAATTAATAGTAGTAATAGTAAGATCAATAATAGTAAGATTGATGAATCATCATCATCACCATCATCAGCAACATCAGCAATTATCCCAACTGACCCTGAAAAATATCATTTATGGAGGTTTAAATTATATGTATTAGCAAATAAATTAGAAAAAGCTATATTGATTTATACTCAAGGATTAAAAAATGGAATAATATTCAAAAAGAATATAATTCACAAGATAGTTAGAATAATTCTTCAAAAACTAAATAGCCCATACACAACAATAAACTTCTACAATGAATTATTGTTATCAAACGTAGAATTCACCAATAGGCCAAAAAGGGAATTAGCAATTATAGACAATTCAATTAAATCTTTCTCATCAAAAGAAATTTATTTAACATATGAAAAATTAAGAAAACAAAAAAACAAAAAATTACACCAATTAATTTATCAAGAAATTTTGGATAAATTAACAGATGAAATATCAATATTGAAATGCTATAATGATATGATTTCATTGGGGTATCATCCTGATTTGTGGACATTTAATAGTTTTATTGATAGGTTAAATAATCTAAATATTATTTGGAATATAATTGTGCAAATGTTTTATTTTAAGGTTAAACCTAACATCATAACTTTTAATATCATATTAAAGAAATTAATTGTAATGGAAGATTTCAATGAAATAATTAAATTATTAGAAACTTTTAAATATATAAATATCACTGTATCAGAAATCACCTTGAAATTAATAATGAATAGACATTTACTAGAAAAATTTAAGAATCTAAATTTAATAGATAGATTATTATCATCCATTTCAATTTATAATAAATTAAAATATCATTTATTATTTCTAGACAACAATATCAGCAGCAACAACAACAACAATAGCAACAACACTGGAATTGATGAATTTTTTAATTTTTATAATAATGAAATTTTAACTAACAAAAAAAAGGTTTTTAACAATTTAAAATTTTACAAAATTATTTTAAATTATTTAATTAAAAAAAAAAATAATAAATTGCTAATGAAATATTATAATGAATTAAAAAAATCAAGAAAAAATAATCAAAATTACTTATTATCAATATTAAATATTACTTTCTATAATATTCTAATTAAAAATCTAATTTATTTAAATGACATTGAGAATGCTTTAATCATTTATAAAGATATTAAAAATTTAGAAAAAATAAATGAAAATATTGATACTATAAATTATTTATTAAGAGGTTTAATAAAAAACAAATATTATAAACAAATCAATTATTTATTAGATGATATGATTCAAAAAAATATTAAACCAAATAAAATCACTATATTAGAATTATCTAAATTACACAAGAAATTATTAAAAAAATTAAAATAAAATATAATTAGTAATTTAAAAATTTAAAAATTTGGCTTTTAAATGTATTTTCTCTAAATCAATAGAAATAAATATTTTCTAATTCATACTATTCTTTGTTATATATATATGCACACTTGTCCCAATACTTTCCACTAATATCAATCATCCAAATCATTATCATTTATCATTATCATCATTATTATATTTCTCAAGAAATTCCCTATGAAAATCCTCTATTCCTTACAAATCCATCAAATAATTCTTCAGGTGGAAGAAATTTACTATGAAAATATTATATACCTTCCTTTTGTCCGAAACCACTGCCATGTATAATACAAACTCCAGTTGATTTATGCATAACTAAACAATAAAATTCATCAGGTTGTTCTCTAACATTAATAAACTAATTTTAGCCAGGTTAGCCCAAAGTACATCTTTTAATTGATTGAATAATTTACATATTTGTTGACTACGCCTTTTTAAACTTTCATATGTTGTTGTTATTCCCAATTTTTGGAGGCTTGACCATTAGATCTGCCATCATTTTCAAGTCAATCCCTGTACATTCAAATATCCTCCTCTTTTACCATCACATCTTTAGAAATTAAATGAAATCAAAACGATTCAAAATTTTCATATTCTTTTCCTATTGATTTAAGAATTTTTTTTTAAAAGAATAATCTCTTTATGGAGAAATTTAATAATTTTTCTGATATTTTGTACTGTCAATCATTGTCCTGTAGTATTTCCAGGATTATTATAACAAATGTTCAATTTCCTTTTGGCTTCTAAATGCGGTTTGTTTAATCCCTCAACTTTTAAATTCCATCCACCATCTTCATTCAAATAAGATGGTACTATTTTTGCATCAAATAACATTAATGTAGAAGTATATAATATCGCTAATGCCGAAGTGGAAAAATTAAGCTTCTGGAGATGTTGGGAAATATTATTACCAATGAAGAAAAATATTATTTGGATCTGATGATAATCATCACGTTCTGTATATATAGTATAATAGTAAGAATTTAATTCATGGTCCCGCCAATGATCTGCGCTCCCCGATAATAAAAAGTTTTGTATTATTCTTTCTAACAAGTGGACGACAACAAAAGCCATCAATTATTGTTGCCTTACCAAAATGGCTTTGAGTCAGAGTATTTCCTCTCATGCGGATACTCTGACAATTTTTTAACTTTTATGTACCAAGCGTTATAACGTGGTCAAAAAAAATTTTTACATCTTCCCAATCTGGGGTAATTTTTTTAATTGACGAACGGCGGTAAAATACTATATCATTTTTAGGAAAGAAATCTATCAGTAAAAAGAAAAGACCACAAAACAGATATAGTAAGTAGCAACTTTGCGATGCAACCACATGATATCATGTGCTTTATCCCAATGTTGTTGAAGTTCGTTTCATAAAAGAAAGATTTCCAGGAAATGGTTCTTGTACAGTCACAGATATATATTCTAAGGAGAAGCTTTTGTAAAGGAAAAAAATCTTACAGTCTACAAAAATGGAGAGTCTGCACCATTTTATGGGTTTAGTCATATTTAACTACCAACAGCAAGGATGTGATTATGGCTTGCTTACAGACTACACAGTGAATCTCGATTTAGCGGATACTAATTAAAAAACTCGGTTTTACGGATAAAGCTCAAAGAATGGTTCCATAACAAATCTTAATAAAAACCTTCTCGATATAGCGGACATCTCGGTTTAACGGATTTTTGGAAAATTTTCCCTAATTACCCAAACTATCCGCTAAATCAAGATTCAGAATGGAAACTGCGCGGCCTCAGAAGATTACAGCTAGTATGATCAAAGAATACGAATGTACAAAAACGCACTTGCTGATAAGCTTAACCTTCAATATGATGATTTTATTTTTGTTGTTATGAATATGTCCACTGAGCGATGAAATTTATGATCCCACTACTTTGTTCAAAGATGTTACATAATGGATAAAATTTACCATTAGATACACACGATGGTGGTAATCCTTTGCCCAATTCACCACTTCCACAACTTGTCCCGGACATTTTTCAGCGATTAAAAAAATGAAAGGTATCTGGGAATAGAAAGGTTTTACGACCTTGGAAAGAAAGAAAAATAAATCCATTCATTGATCTGCAAGTAAAAAAAAATGAACATTTGCAGGTTAACATCTCTCGAAAATAGGCGTCACCTTCTAAAAGATTGATTTTTTCAACAACTCACATCATATTGACTTCTCTCTTCCATTCTCAGCATGATCACATCAATGTCAATCACTAAAATTTTATATATGAGTGACACTTTGACTCCCCTGAAACTGAAAGTAACAATGTCCTGCAACTATTAATATTAATGTTTGTAAAGTCGACAAACAAAATATAAGCACATGGGGACCATTTTGACAGATACAACTCTTAAAATATCAAATATAAGAATTTAGTAAATGAAATATCTCCAATATTTGTGTTTGTACTCATAAATAGTAATAGTAATACTAATCCTAATGATATATAGTATTATGCTTTGCTATTGCCAGTTATTATTACTTTTAGACAACATCTATTTTTATTGGAAGATGTCCTATATTTATTTGTTCTCATCAAGAGAATTAAAAAATAGAACCAGGAAGCTATTAGAATTTGATTAATTGGCCTTTTTATTAAATATATCTAAATATAGTGATCTTACTAGGTTTAGAAAAACGCAATCTATTGATAAAATGTTTTTCTTTATATAATCTCTATTTAGTATTAATATTACAGTTTCTATTGAATAAACCGAACAATTTGATATAGTATATGCACATATGCACATTGCTAATTAGAGAAATTTTTTTTCTTTGTTCATAGTCCTCGTAGTGATTATAATAATAGTAGTAGCAGCAGAAGTAATTGACATTTTTCTTTTCTTTGCTTTCAGCCAATTGATAATAGTAGTGATAATAACAACAGTGGTTAAAGTCGAGACGAGCTTATGCTTAACTCGAGCTCGGTTCGAAAATTTTTTATAAAATCACGATTTTGCAGACCGCTGAAAATAATGAATTGTATAGCATGCTTGAATTTAAATCATAAATAATTTTTAAACAATCCCCGAAAATTTCAATTCTGTGTTTTAATATCCGTTTCTAATAAAAAAATTTTTTTAGGTTAATGAATTTTTACGTTTTAAAAATTCATAGTAACGCGAATTTAATTATAATCCGTTGACTATATAAAATTTCGCAATGCTTGCTCAGATATTTGTAGAAAAATAAAAATCTTTATTATGATTGAATTCCTATTCGTAATACAACCCATAATTCAAATTATTTTGTTTTATTGTTATCCGAATCATTAGTTTATTCGAATTATTTCATTTGTTTGTTCGTTATTCGAATTATTCGTTTTTTATTCGTTTTATTTGATTTTTATTCATTTTATTCGTTTTATTCTCTAAGTTGAACAGACTCGAGTTAAAACTGAATTTTCAAGTTCGAGCTAAGTTCAAGAAAATAGCACTTAAAGGCAATGAAAATAAAAGTATTAGTATTAGAATTAATAACGTCAAACTCGGGCCTATTATTTCTTGGCTCGTTCGGGGCTTTAACAATGGTATATAGATGTAATTTAAAAAAAATTTTTTATTCCTACTAGCAAATAGTCATAGGGTTTCTATTCGAATAAAATGAATAATAAAAATAATAATAATAACAATAATAATAATAACAATAATAATAATAATAATAATAATAATAAACGAATAAATTTTATTCGAATGATTAATTTGTATTACTATTTGAACTCTAATCTATATATATTATTGATATTATCAATAGACAAAATAAATCCATCTTAATTTTTCAGATGAAAAATTATCAAAACAAGATTAGATTTTTATTTATACATTCATCCGTGTAACTTTAAAGAAATGATAAATTCTGCCTCTATTTTATAGCAATGCTCTGAAATATCAATATTTAGTTAATTAACAAATAAAATTAATTAATTACAAATAATTGTAACTTAAAATAAGGAAGGAGAAAGAAAAAAATAATGTTTCCATTAAAAAATTTAAGGGGAATTATTCATACAAACAGATTATTAAATATGTCTTTGATAATAAACGAAACAACAAAAAGCATCAAAGTAGGTTTTACATATATCTTTCAAAATTAATAATAATCCCTTACTTTCTTTCTTTCTTTCTTTCTTTCTATGTACCTATTAATTTCTCTTCCAATCATTGATATAATTAAAGTCATCACGTGCATTTGCTACCACTACTGCCACACAAACATCATCAAAGGTATATATATATATATATATATATATATATATATCACAGATTCAGTCATCATTATTTATATATGTTTACTAATTAAAAATTATTTATATGTAGGTAACACATGCTGATTCGGAAACACATCCAGCTACCGCAAAATTACTAGATAAACAATCCAAGTACTTGATCAACACATATAATCGCCCACCAGTTATTTTCTCAAGAGGAAAAGGATGTTTGATATACGACTTGGCAGATCGTGAATATTTAGATTTCACAGCTGGTATAGCAGTTAATGCTTTCGGTCATTCGGATGAAGAAGTTACTAAAGTGTTATCAGAACAAGCAAGCAAACTTTTCCATACATCGAATCTATATTTTAATGAACATGCTGGTGATTTGGCAGAATTATTAGTAGAAACAACAAAAGAAGGTGGTGGTTTTGAAGCAGCAAAAATATTTTTTTCAAATACTGGTACAGAAGCTAATGAAGGAGCATTTAAATTTGCTAGAAAATGGGCAAAACTTTCTTCTGGTAATCAAGAAAAAATTGGTGTAGTATCATTTACTGACGCGTTCCACGGTAGAACAATGGGATCGTTGTCGGCTACACACAATAAAAAATATCAAATTCAATTTACACCTTTGGTGCCAGGATTTACACTTGCACCTTTCAATGATACAAGTAAAATTAATGAGCATGTTAATCAAAATACTTGTGCTGTTGTTGTTGAACCGATACAAGGTGAAGGTGGTGTTTGGGTTGCTACTCAAGAATTTTTAGGAGCTTTAAGAAAAAGATGTGATGAAGTTGGAGCTTTATTGATTTATGATGAGATTCAGGTAATTAATCAATCATTCCCTTTAAAATACATTTCACATGTCAAAAATGTCAAATATCGGATATCAAATATCAAATAATAATATAAATGATTATTATGTTTTTAAAATAGTGTGGACTTGGTCGTACTGGTAAATTTTGGGCGCACCAAAATTTTCCAAAATCATGTCATCCAGATATTTTAACAATGGCAAAACCTTTAGCAAATGGATATCCAATTGGCGCAATCATGACAACTCAACGCGTGGCTGATGCTATTACAGTTGGTAAGTATCTAAATACTTATATATCAACATTAAACGTATATGGTTAAATATTATATATATTATTTTTTTATTCATTCATTCACTCACTTCTTTCTCCTCTTATTACCCCCCCCCAAAAAAATCAAAATCAGGTGATCATGGTACAACATTTGGAGGAAGTCCATTAGCCTGCAAATTAGCATTATCAGTGATAAAACGTATTAATAGACCAGAATTTTTAGCAAATGTAAACAAGGTTGGAGAACTTTTCATAAAAGAAAGTAATGAATTGAAATCAAAATATCCATCACTTATTAAAGAAGTACGTGGACGTGGATTGATAATTGGTGTACAATTTAATAAGGATCCAACACCATTGATACAATTAGCAAGAGAGAGAGGTTTATTAATTATTACAGCTGGTAATAATACAGTTAGAATTATACCACCATTGATAATAAAAGAAGAAGAAGCTAAGCGTGGAATTAATATATTAAAGGATGCTCTAAAAGTTTTTGAAGAGAATCAATAAAGATTATTTATTTTTTTATTTACACGTTATAAATTAAAATGGATTTTTTTTAAAAATAAAATCAATATTTCTGAAAATACTATATATGATTTCTCTAGATAATTACCCTAATTGAAACAGCTTTAATTTCTAAATTAAAGAATCCAGAAAATCAACTCTATAAAAAAATGTAAAATTCCTGATCTCGTCAAAAACTCTAGCAATTTAATAAAATTTTTGGTTTCAAGATATTTAAAGGTTGTAGGTCATTGATTATAAGAAAAACCAAGGCCTTTTCATGTTGTTCTTGTTTTTTTTTGGCTTGTATGTGGTTGGTGATTTTCAAACATTTTAGTAATTGTTTTAGAGGTGTCCTACAATGAAAATTATAATAATTGGAAAAAAATTTTTTTTTTGCTTATTTTAAACTGGTTGCTCAATTTATTTTGGGAGATTTTCTTTTGTTATATACCATGAGCAGATAATAAGTGTATAATATAATCAAATGTAGATTCACCCACTACATACTATAACATCACAATGAACAATAGTATCAGAAACTTTAGAGACATTGACTTGACAAATAGCTTCTTAGATCTTTTGCAATTTCAGTTTCTTCCATCAAATTCCATATCCAGCTTTACTTCTTAGAATTAGAACCACACTTTACCTTTCTTTTCTTCAAAATATGAACAGCAGAAGGCTCCTCCCTTCTCATTATTGTATTACTACTTTCTCCTATTATAATGACTGAAGGCTCTTCCTACATTTCAAATTTAATTAATTAGATGAATTAAATGGGAATTTGTTTGACGCGAGAAATTTTATTTCCATTCAGTTACACGAGATATTGGGGTGTGCGACATTCTAAGAAAATCAAAACTAATTATGTGATTTTTTTTGTGATCTGCATATCACTTACAGAATTTCCGAAATTTACGTAAAGAACATAGTAAACATATTGGGTGCCTTCAAAAATTATTATATTGAGATTGAGATTGAATATTTGATTGGATTGAGATTGGATTGAAATTGAAAT